CTTCAAAATATAAATTCTATCAAACATGCAACGAAACAAACAAAAAACACTAAGAGGCATAGTCATTAAATATGAAAAGAAAATGAGGTTGTAATTAATGTCCCAAAACAAAATGTGTATAATTTGTTGAATGGGAAACTAATTTGCTCTTTGTAAAGTTACACCCAAACCATTATTTTAAATAAAATAAGAAAAGGTTAATAATAATAGTAATAATAAAAGAAGAAGGTGAAGGGCCTCATTTCCTTCTTTTTGTTTATTTCCTAAGTTTTCTAAAAAACTGTTTTAATGAGGCTGAAATCCAAGCTTGTGCAGGGACTCCATCATCAAACATTTATCTCACTTAAGTCCTTACAGTGACCTCACAAGGGAGCCCAGGATGGTCCCACACCCATCACTATTTCACAAATGGGGATGACAAGGCTCTGAGAACACAGTGCCTCACTCACTATACCTACTAGAAGGAAAAGCTTTGAAGGAATCTCTGAGAGACTATTCCTGCTACATGCAGCCTGAGGGTTTATAAATATAAAAAGGAAGGAGGTGGGATAAGACCAGAGGAAGAAAACAGGAAGTCCGCTTGGCAGCAGCTGGAGATAAACACCACTGCCCCACCCCACCCCTGTGGAGAAGGCCAGAGAGGAACGTGAGTATACAAACAAGCTCATCTGTCTGGCCCAAGTCCACTATCCACAAAAGTAAAATGGAACATCAATGCCGAGCCTCATCCTCTGAGCAGCCTTCCACTTCCTCAGCTTTAGACCAACCAGGTCCCCTGGAGTTGAGGAGTAAGGGTCACTCTGGACCTTCCACCACAGGCTCTTTCTGCCCCACCCGCAAGATGGCAGGAAGTTACAGGGAGAGTTCAAAGACAAAACTGGACAGGTTACCCTCAACACAAATCTTGGACTCTGCCAACTGAGTGTGAGTCAGTCACCCTCAGGGTCTGGGTATTATCTGATTGTTGTTGTTGTTGTTGTTGTTGTTGTTGTTGTTATGTGCCGTCCAGTCGGCCCCAACTCATAGCGACCCCTCCTTGGGTTTCTGAGGCAGTATCACTACGGAAGCAGGATTGCCCAACCTTCCTTCCGAGGACTGGCTGGTGGGTTTGAACCGCCAGCCATTTGGTTAGCAGGCAAGTGTCTTAGCCACTCTGCTACCAGAGCTCTGATTAGACTCCATGATTCAGTGGCTTGCCCATCAAAAAAAAAAAAACCAAACTCAGTGCTGTCGAGTTGATTTGACTCACAGCGACCCCTTCTTGGGGTCTGAACTGCCAGCCTTCTGGTTAGCAGTCAAATGCCTTAGGCACTATGCCACTAGAGTTCCCACAGGACTTGGGAATTGTCATGGTCATTGTCCTCACCAGCCAAGAGAAGAGATAAGAGGAAGGAAAGATGCCACAGTCCACAGCTTCCCGGCCGACTGAGAGCCTCCCACCCAGTTCCCTGTGATCTCAGTCACCATTTTTTCCATCAAAGAGTACTTAACCCAAACCAAACCAAACCTACTGCCTTGGAGTCAGATCCAAATCATAGCAACCCCTCCTGGGTTTCCAAGGTGGTATCACTACGGAAGTAGATTGCCCAACCTTCCTTCTGAGGAGTGCCTGATGACTTTGAACCGCCAGCCTTCTGTTAGTTAAATGTCTTAGGCACTACGCCACCAGAGATCCTTCAAAGAGGACTAGGGTTCAGGAAAGAAGGGAGTATATGAAATTTACTCTAGGATGCATCACAGGCAATCTGGGACCCACCCAACAAACTAGATTTGAATGAACCCAACCCAGATGAAGCTGAATTTGTCACTCATGTTCCCAACCCTCTGCTTACTTAGGCAGGAAACAAGTTGTAGGCAAAGGGGCAGTGGACAGGGAAAGCTCAGAATGTCAGGGAGATTGGGGAGGGACATCTGGGCCTCCAGTGGCTCACCAACCTCACCACTCAGTCTTGTTCACTTCTCCCTTCAATCATGCACTGCTATTTGAACACCTTCTATATGGTAGACATTGCAGACATGGCAGTGAACAAAACAGACAAAATGCCCTTTGCTTACAGAACATCGCTTACTTCAAACAAGTGAACTATAACAAGACAGATGGTGATGAATGCTGTGGAGGGAAAGCAAAAGGAAGACTAGGGGTAGCAGAGATGGTGGGTAGCAAGTTACAGCTTTAAATACATTTGCCTGGGAAGGTCTTGTTGCAAAGTGGCATTTGAGCAGAAATGTAGAGAAGCAAATATGTGGGTAAAGAGGATGAAAAACAGCAGGAACAGCAAGTTCAAAGAACATGAGCGGGGAGCACGTTTGATAAGCACAAGCCAAAGGAGCCTACCACCCATCAGCTGGGGCTGGCGGGTGGTAGTCCAAAGGTCTTAGCCACATTTCCCCGAAACATAGGATCAGGAGACACAACAGAGAAGCTACCAGGGTATTAGCAGAACTGCTGCCACTCTAAGGAAACCCTGAACAGACCATTCTGAAGCCATCCTTTTGTACTGGGCATATGAGATATTCTTAATAGGTAACTGTTAGATAAAAAGAATGAATCCTCAGCAGAGGACAATAAATGCAAGTGCTAAAGATTTTCAGAAAAAGACATTTCATAACCTCCTCAGGATTTCTCCTCAAATCCAACCAAATCCTTCATCCTGCAATTTCAGCTCATGAATACTACTACCCTGGGCTACAGAGGGTGGGACACAGCCCTGGACTTGGGGGATCATGGGTATTTTGGAGGGAGGGTCCCTCAGAGTACCTTTTGGAGAAGGATGTCTTCTCCCTAGAATCCCAGAGTCCAGGGTGGAGCTCAGTGGAGTGGCTGCTTGAGCTTGCAGAAAACAAGTCACTGGGACTGTGATTGTACAGCCCAATTTACCAAGGAAGGGGGAAGGATTTCAAACAGCTGCTGTATGGGAACAAAGACAATACAACTGGCAGATTCTAATCAGAAACTTTGGCTCATGGTTCAGAGTGCAAAATCCAAAAACATAGGTAGGATCTTAGAATCTTAGAACTGCTACAGAATCAAAGGGATCTCTTGATGGTAACTTTGAAAGGTGCACTGAGGAAGGGAAAAGACAAGGAATGGTGAAGTCCTGGCCCCTTATCCTCTATGGGTCTGATCTTAATATGATTCAACCACCAATCTGTCTTGTCAGTCTGTTGTATTACAGTAGCTTTCATGTTGCTATGGTCCTGTATTTCAAATATCAGCAGGGTCACCCATGATGGACAGGTTACAGAGGAGCTTCCAAACTAAAGACCGACTAGGAAGAAAAGCCAAGTGATCTACACAAAAATGAGCCAATGAAAACCCAATCAGAATAATGTCTGCTATGGTGCTAGAAGATGAGCCTTCCCTAGGTTGGAAGGCCCTCAAAACACACAAGCCACAACAATGGACTTGAACATACCAACAACCTGAAGGTGGTGCAGGACTTGGCGATGTTTCATTCTGTTGTATACATGGGGTTGCCTGGAATCCAAGTCCACTCAATGGCAACTAACAACAGTGACAAACTTCCTAAGGATCCACGCTACCGATATCTCCCACACAGTGCCCAGCAATATGCTATGCACACAGTAGGTGTTTAAATACTTATTGATTCACTAAAGATTTTCTTACAAGTGGAGACCTTTGAAGGCAGCATTTTCTATCATGTTATAAACCCACAAGAGGGAGAAGACCTGATCATTTGTTGGTGAATGACAATTTGGACCAACTGCTTAGAGCTTCTTGGGAAATCCAGGCTCTTATTTCAAGACTTAGTACAGGAGCAGATTGGGTAGGTGACTCATGCTGAAGAGACACCAGGTCAGGACACCTGAATGGGCTGAGGTCTGTGAAAAGTCTCCAGCCCAGGGCCTGGCACACAGCAGGCACTCAATAAGTATGAGGGGTCTTTCCCTTCCCCGTTCATAAGCCTGGCTATCAAGAGGTGGGGAGGAGACAAAATAGGGACATTTCATCACATTAAGAGCAGTCAAGAGAAGACATTCTGAAACCAGACCTACTTTTGAAGGAGCCCCCAGCAACTGCCTGACCACAGCTCCCCTGAATACTGAGAAAAAGGCAGGGACAAACACCCCCAGCACAGCATCCCCTCACCCTTTCAGCTGCTGCCCCACCCTAGTTTCAGTTCCTCAGCCACTTATTTGGGTTCTCAGGACAAAACAGTTGCCATGCAGTCACCTCTAACTCATGGCGACCTCCTGTGTGTTGAAGTAGAACTCTGCTCCCCAGGGTTTTGAAGGGCTAACAACATAATTTTTCAGGAAGTAGACTTGAATCTCCAAGAGTGTTAAAAGTTTATACCACCCATTAAATCCATTAATTCCAAACAGTAAGGAGAATGCAAGGGAGGAAGAAGTATTCCTCCTGCTTTTTTGACAGCCAATCGTCAGAAGCAGGAACAAGAATGATTAAGCCTGATGCGCTGGACGCATCTGAATGCCTGTGTAAGCTGCCCTTGCTGCCTGGGAACTGGACTCAGGCACCAACTCAGGCAGCTAGGCAGCGCCCACTCACAGAGCCATCCAAATGCCAGGACCTGTACCCTATCAACAGTACCAAGAGCTAGGATGAAGAATGATTGTGAGGGAAAGAAGATGAACAGAGTCAACTTCAAACACAGCTGTTGACAAAGCCGTTGTTTCCCATCATACAAAAGCTGCATTTCCAACCTCCAGCAGGAGACACAGAATCAAGAGGTACAGGAGTTACATCAAAACCAAAACCAAACCAAATTCACTGCCTTGGAGTCGGATCTGACTCCTAGCGATCCTTCCTTGGGTTTCTGAGCCAGTATGGCTATGGAAGTAGATTGCCCAACCTTCCTTCCAAGGGTTGGTTGGTGTGTTTGAACTGCCAGTCTTCTGGTTAGCAGTCAATTGCCTTAGGTGCTATGCCACCAGAGCTCCTAGATATCAAAAAACACACCCAAAATGCCAATGGGTGGTGGATAGCAGCAGGGGAGATGGTCTGGAGACTACCTTACCTGTCTTGCCACTCTCCGTGCCTCCCAGTAGGGCTTTGAATCTTCCACAGCTTTGCCGATTTTCTTCACCAGTTCGTCCAGTTTCACTGTGGCTTCAACTAGAACAGAGCGAAATTTCTGGCGAGCGTCCTACAGCCAGGAGAAATCAAGGAAACACAGCTCAGGTTTAAGAAGGAATCTGAAAACACCTGCTTTTAACAAGAAACACCAAGGAGGGACTCTACCCAACATACAACACCAGCTGCCATCGAATTGATCCCAAGGCTTTTGGTGGCCCGTGTATGTCAGAATAGATCTGTGCTCCATAGGGTTTTCGATGGCTGATTTTTCAAAAGTAGGTCAAAAACAAACAGGCCTTTCTTCCAAGATGCCTCTGAGTGGACTCAAATCTCAAACCTTTCAGTAAGTAGCCAAGTGATTACCAGTTTGTGCTACCCAGGGGACTCCTCCTCCAATATAATAAAAAAAAGCCAAACCCTTTGCCATCAAGTCAATTCTGACTCATGGTGACCCCTTGTGTTACAGGGTAGAACTGCTCCATAGGGTTTTCACGGCTGCTGGATGGGTTTGAACTGATAACCTTTAGCTTACTTAAGCACAAATCATTTACACGATTCAGGGACCTCCACCAACATATGTTGTTGCTGTTGTTGTTATGTGCCGTCAAGTCAGACCTGACTTACAGCGACCCCTCCTTGGGTTTCCAAGACAGTATCACTATGGAAGTAGATCACCTCATCTTCCACCAACATATAAGCCCTTTAAAATAAAATCTTTAAAAGGCAGTGAATAGAGATGCACTGTCCAATAGGACTTTTTACAATGATGAAAACACTGTATAATCTGAGCTGACCAGTATAGTAAGCCACTATCTGTTGGCTACTGAGCAGTTAAAGTATGAATAGCAAGACCCAATAATGGAATTTTTAATTTATTTAAGTAATTACATTTAAATTTAAATAGCCACACGTGGCTAATGACTATGATGGTGGGCAGTACAGATCTGTACTGTCCAGATCCTCAGGGGAAAAATGTCCAGTTCAACCATCTCTAGACATGATGGTAACACTGTTCCCTACACTCTCAAAAAGTCCTCAGCCATATGGCACAGCCAGGATTAAATACAAATGTAAATTTATCACGTACCAGACCCTGTGCTGGATCTAGAATGGCTCCTGCCTTTAGAGCACTTGCAGCCTGGTGGGTGGGATAGGCCCTTCCAGAGAAGTCAGAGCCAGGACGAAATGGTGCAGGAGGCATGGAACCCAGAGGCAGAGAGACCCTTGCCAGGCCAGACAGGAGTCCAGGAGACACTCATGGGAAACTTCCAGAAGGGTAACATCTATACAAGAGGCAGAAGTGCAAATGGGCAACTGCGGAGGGAGAGGAAACACTGAGTCCCCAGCAGGAAGTAGAGCCTACATGCAGCCAAGAGGGGAGAGGAAGCAGCATAGTGTCTGCAAGAAAATGAAAGAATCCAGAGGTCTGGAACATGGAGAATAGAAGGCATAAGTGTGGCCACCCACCCTGTAGACTGCCATTAATAACCTGAGCCTCAACAAGAGTTTAGAAGGACAGAACAGGCCAGTGGACAGAGATAGGCTTAAACACATTATGAAAGTCAAGAAATCAGATTCATGGGTTCCAAGAGGTAAAGAGTGAAAAAGAAGTTTAGTCCCAGGTCTAGGAGAACATGCTGGAGGGTGAGAAAGCACTTCAGAGAGCCCACGTCCCCTGATCCTTGCCCCTTTAGGTTTTGCCTGATGTGGTATGGTAACACCTGTGTGCATGTCAGTGTATGTGTGTGTAAGTATGAGTGTGAATCTCTATGTATGTATGAGTGTGTGCATGTGTTGTATTTGTAGGTGTGTAAATGTGTGTGTGCATGTGTAATGTGTGCATGTACATGTAAATATGAATGTGAATGAATGCATGTGCAGTATGTGTGTATGAGTCTGAATGTGTGTGTGCATGTGTAATGTGTGCATGTACATGTAAATATGAATGTGAATGAATGCATGTGCAGTATGTGTGTATGAGTCTGAATGTGTGTGTGCATGTGTATGTATGTATGCATGTGTTTCAGAGAGGGGAAAGAGATGCTCAGAGAAGAAGGACCAACACATGGTCACCAGCCATGGACCTGGCCCCGTTTTACTTGCTGGTGAAACATGTGTCATGCCATTGCATAGAAAGGGCCTACCTCACCACTACACAAGTAACTATCTGAAAAATATCTTCTTAACACCAAATTGTAGAGGCCTCTTAGGCGAATGAAGGTGAAGGAGGTGAAGGAGCTCCTGATCAGTTCTTCTAATCCATTCCCCTCTGTCATATTATGCCATGGGCTGGCTAGTTGGGTTTGAAAATGATGGCTGCTCTCTGGGATAAGGCCCTTACCTTCTAAGGGAGTTTCTCAGCCTGTGAGCCTGGATCACACTTCTCACACAGGCTTTGGCCCCTTGGCCCAAGCCCTGCATCCTCCTCTCTCTCTGCCTCCTCTCCTGTCTGGCCAGGCCTGGAGTCACCTCCTACAACTTCTGAAGACAGAGGACAAGACTAGACTTGTTCTCCCAGGGAATTACCACAGATGTACTGGGTCTCCAGGCCTCTCAGGCAGCTCAGAGAACAAAGCCCCACAAAGGTACTGCCAGGTGTGGCTCTATTAGCCCTGCTAATGGATGGAAGCAGCATGTTGCCTAAAACCCAGGCTTTCAATCAGACAGACAGACAGACTCAATCCTGCCAAAACCTCTTCTGTGAGGCCCTTAGCAGGTAACATCTCTATGAATCATTTTTATTACCTACAAAATATGGTCTCATGAAGAGGGCTGTCAGAAGGAATAAAGGAGAAAGGAAATGTAAAACTCCTAACAGTACCTGGGCACAGTAAGAAAAAAAAACACAGTTGCTATTGAGTTCATTCCAACTCAGGAAGACCCCATGAGTGTCAGAGTAGAACTGTGCTCCACAGGATTTTCAATGGCTGTGATCTTTCAGAAGTAGATTGCCAGACCTTTATTCCAAGGCACCTCTAGATGGATGAACTCAAACCTCCAACTTTTTGGTTAGCAACCAAGCACATTAAGCGTATGCACCACCCAGAGACATGAGCAGACGACAATAAGTACTCCTGGTATAAAAAGAGACTCATGATCCTATTGAAAAATACTAAGAGGGTCTCTCTCCAGGTGAGAGGAGCCAATGTGATGAGGATAATATCCCTAACCTTTGTGTAGGGAGTTGTTTTGCAAAATGCACTCATCTGCACCAGCAGAATCCTCAGGTCACCACCTGGTGATAGGCAGGACAGCACTGTCCACACACTTAACCACGAGTGAGGACACTGAGGACCAAACCAGGCGGTGTGGGATCCAAGGCAGATCCTATCATCACCCTGGGCCTCCCCTGTAAGACGAGAATTGAGGCCCACATCAGTAGGCTCTGGGCCAACAGGCTTAGTGCATTTGGCTTGTAAGCTATATAGTAAATGTCAGGAAAATAGACATTTTTCAAAATATCTGGATTCTTAAATTTCTCACTGGAAACAAAAAGCATCCAGTGATCTGGCAACACTGGTCCCATTCCTACCTGACAACCATTGGCTGGCAGTGGAGTAGAAGATGCCCCCTTAGACAGGGACATCTTAGATGGGGTCAGACAGGGACTGGCCTCCTCCAGTCCCCACCACCTCTCTGCTTGATCACACCCAGCCCACTTCACTCATTCAGCTCCCCTGGCCAGCCCCTGGAGACATTTGATAGTTAAGTGCTCAGCCAACTAAAAGATCAGCAGTTTGAACCCACCAGCAGCTCTGCCAGAGAAAAGACCTGGTGATCTGTTCCCGCAAAGATTACAGCCTAGGAAATACTTTGGGGCAGTTCCACTCTGTCCTACGGATAGCCAAGAGTCAGAGTCAACTCAATGCCACACAACAATTTCAGGCACAGATGACTATTACCCATCAACTCTGCCCTTGGGAAGAAAGAGGGCTGCAAAGCACAGACAGACAACTTACTATGTGGCTGTGCTCTCATAAGGCTTTAAGCCCATCAACCTGTGTGATCAGTATAACCACCTTATCAGGTAAATGCTATTGTCATTATTCACATTTTATAATGGTACAGAGGATGGGTAGCGAAGTTGGGAAATGTGAGAGCCAGGAGTTAAATTCAGGCTGTAAATATAGAACTACAACATAGTGTGACGAATACTAAGACCTAAGAATGCACACTGTGCAACAGACACACACCTGGGAAGATGACCTAAGGAAAGTGTCATGCAAATCAGTCCTTGAGAAGGGGGGATTTCACCAGACAGAGGAGGAAGGGCATGGGAGGCTGAGGGAATAGCAGGCGTAAAGCATGGATGGGGGGTGGGGCCCCAGTAAGTGATGTGTGTCATACTAAGGCATTTGAACTTTACCCCGTGGGCACTGGAGAGCCATGGTGGATTTTTAAGCAGAGGCAGCACCTGATCAGATGGAGGTTTTACAAAAGAATGAACTGGCTGCAGAGTAGTTTTAAAGGTGCCCAGGGTGAGTTCGATGAGCAGGTTCAGGGACCACCAGCCTAGTTAACATCCTTCTGCAACTACCTGTATCAGCAGGTGACCATCAAAGGGTATTAAACCCAGGAGAGGTGATTTAATACCAGGTTTTCCCTCTTTAAACAAGGCTATGCTGCAGCGATGATGAACAACTGAAAGACGCCCAACCGCCAACACACCTATTCATCTGATACCCATTAAAAGCTAAACACAGAGCCAGTATTCTCCCTGAAGAGATAAAACAGACACAGTTCTTTCACCAGTCTGCAGAGGATGACAGCTGTTTGAGTAACAATTAATTCCCCTTAAGTACTGGGGTGTGGGAGCCCACAGACCTCAGCATCAAAATCTTCCCTGTCTGCTCAATAACCCTGATATTGCTTGGGTCTCAGCAGTCCCTAGTGGAACAACTCTGGTCCCAAAAGTGGTTATGTGACCCAGATCTGACCAGTCACATTGCTTACTGCTAGCCTAAGTGATTGTTGAGGGAACATCATGTGAGCCATCAGGACCAATGAGATTTGATGCTTAGGACTTTTCTGAAACTGTTGGAAAGAGGAAGTTTTTTCCCACTGAGATGG